TGGTAGCAAGAAGTGAGTATAGAACTATGGACTCGTAGCAGATGATTGATGAAAGAACTGGCTGGGGCAATACTCTTTGGATATTATCATAATATACAGGAGCTTGATCATGTTTAAAGCCAAATAGTGGCAAACAAATGCTGGTCAAATCCACGGAGCCCTGAAAAGTGGAGGCGCATTGAGAGTGCCAGGCAATGTATCGAGTGCTACGAGAAGTCGAGAAAGAGCGGGTTTCGCAAATGAAATCTAACTTGTTCACAGGAATACTCCAGCCGCGGGCAACGTAAAACGAACATGAACATCCAACAGGCCAGTATATCTATCCTGTGTGTTACATCTCATCAAGAGCACATTTCCAGAGTCTCTGCGGTATGATAGGCTGGGTCTTGGATTCAGAGAGATCTTCTATCACGTAAGAACAACGAGTGACAGCTGCAGCCAGTGTTGGCCAATGCAGTTCTCGCGGACTAGCAAAGAGAGAACACAATCCAAGGCCAACGAATACGATCTGCTCGTGCAAAAGTATAATACCGGGGTCACACCAGTAAAGGACAAACAACTAAATGGTCGTGTTTGAGTGTTGTGAGATACCTGAATTATTTACTGAACGTAAAGCGACTGCATCTGCATGAGGCCATAAATACTCGGTAGTGGCTGCTGGACACCGATAGAACGATAGAAGACACGCACGTAGGTCGTGGAGAAGTATGGGGGGCTTTTCTATGAAGGAGTTTTTCGTTCAGCCGGTGTTGTCCCGTTCAGTGGACACAGTAGTGGTCTCGTGAGGGGTGAATCATGGTTTAATATTCTTATTTCACACGACTAATCTCGACGGTAATTGACGCTGAATGGTGCCGCATGGTCCTGCGTTGTTGCAGCGTGGATGGGACTTTGCACTATCCTGGGTTTTTCGCGTTCCTCACGTGTTTTTTGACGTGCATGTGATACTGGCAGAAGGTTTCCTTCCGCCTGCTCCCTCAGCGCTGCCTTCGCGTCTGCTCCATCGGGACTGGTAAGTCCTCAGTTGGTTGCAACAGGGGCTGGAAGCTTATATGTGCGCCACAGACAAGTCATCTGCATTTAAGCTCCATTCTTAAGTTCATATTGCGCTGTGCTTTCAAGTAGGTCTACTTTACCTTGCGCAAACTCCGTGCAGGTCTCACTGTAGCGCCTGTGCTACTTCTTTCAGCTTCTTTTAGTTGTTTTGCCTTCTGTCGCGTCTACCCACCACCTCCCCTTTCACCAACCTGATATCTGCTGTATCTCGCTGAACTGTGTATTTGGATATTCGTGTATTCTGTTGTACATTACAGGTTGCAGGTCGCACAATGCCCGTGCACGCCAATTCACAGGCCAGGTGTAAGGAAGGGGTCCTACTATTTTATTCATTTGTTATTTTCTTGTTGTAACCATGTATTTACATATGTGTGGCCCAGAGTCGAGTGAAGTCCCTTCACTCTTCTCCTCACCCACGTTGAAATACTAAGTTCTGTATAACCTAGCTTTCAACTGCCTGGGGATTGAAGAGGCACCAAGGTTGGCACCTACACTGACCTTACACCAGGACCGCTTGGGTTCCGGCTGTTTCCACTAAAAGTGCTTACACCATCTGATTAGACAGGGGAATGTATGGCCTAAATGGGAAGTTGGCACAGCCACCGATCCCATGCCTGTTCAGCACATTACCGGCACATGTAGTCCAGTCGATTGACCCCTGATTCTGCTTGGAGCAATGGAGGACATTGAGGAAAGACTTGTGGATGCATGTGCTTGAATTCAAATCCAGTGATTGTCCTGAAATGGCATGACCAGGGCTGAATATGCATTGAAACTTAGGCAGGTGACCAGCCTCTTACAGCAAGCCAAAGAAAAATCGGCGCATCCGATTTGGATGAATGGCCAGTTAGGTCATGTGATTGACCCTATTTAGGAAATTGGAGATCGATCATCATTTATTTGCTACCATTTTTGGATGATCACATGATCCGCACAGCCATTCATCCAAATTGGGTGTGCCGATTTTTCTTTGGCTTGCTGTAAGTGAAACTCCATGAATTTAACATTGTATAGTGTAGCAGCAGGGCCTTTGCAGCTTTAAGTACATTGGGAAACACTAAAATATGAAAAACGGGATCCTAGCAGACATAAATGACCTTACAACAGTCACAGAAAGCTGTCATGAATGTCTTTCCTTGGAGGATAGGTCGATCGCTATCCAGGCGATGCTGTCGGATGGAGCTTGGTGTTCCGGGTCATCTGATGGTGGGTCAGAGACAGACCAGAGGTGGGGCGGAGCTCTGAGGGTGATGGGGTGTTGAAGGGACTTGGCTTCAGTGACTCGGAACGGAGCACTGCACCTGGTACGTTCTTGTTGTCCCCATTTGTCAGGGGAGCTGGCGACAGAGGAACTGAGGCCACCAGCAGAAGGGGCCTGGGGGCCCTCCCCTCACTACTTAATGGAGGAGGCATTAGTGAGGGTCAATTGTTCATCACGCAATTTGTTGGGTGTTTGTGAGGCCCCGGCCCATGTCTATATTCCGCCCACAACATCAGTTGATGTTGTGTTGTGTAATAATTATGTCGCGACGCTAATTTAGCATCGCGGAAGCTTCTCTATTTATTTGTGCCGAGAATGTATAAGATTGTATATAAACCCTCGGGGTAGCTGTAAAAGGCGGATCAGCCTTTACTTCTACCCCATTAATATACAGCCAAATCAAGCGTATACTTAGACGGACTACTGAGGCCTGAGGCGAATGGGGGAATGGAACGTTACCGTCCCCAAACTAGTAAGATACCTTTCAGTGTTATACCAAGGTGTCTCTGGGAGTGCCTGTTACTCAGTTCTTAGGGGCGGCAGGCGAGTGGGACACGATAGACATCCTGGAAGAGGTTTTGGAGGGCTGAAGACTGTTTATATTATAACTGGGGGGAACTATTTACTAGAGGGGTACACATGTACATATAGTGGAAACAATTGGATCCAAAGGTAAACAAAGGTTACCAAGGGAGGGGAAGGAAGTCCACAAGACAAATAGGAATAGGCGAAAAGCCTGAATTACGTTGCAAGAGGGCTAGCGGCTCTCTATGCCGACTAAGCTCGTGGGGCCAAACTCTCCAAAACCTCTACTCTCTCTCTAAACTTCGCTTGACTCTCGATCCTTAAACTCCGTGTGGGTTCTCCGGGATTCCGCAAGGTCCGGGCTCAACTAATCTACTACCCACTCGTTGTGGGCTAGACAGTTGCCCTTATTCCTACTGTTGGATTCCACTCACTCACACCCTCTCTAGCGCGTCCTAGCACCTTAGAGAAAATGGGGGAGGGGAGAACTTCTATTCCAAAATCCGGTATGTACAGGATATAAGGAACAATTATTTTTAGAATAATTGATGAGAAATATTGGTACCATATGGCACCTGCATACCTTATTAGGCAAAGTAATAAAAAAAGGTAACAGTAACAATAAAAGAATATCAATCAATATCTGAAATGATGGCAAAATATGAAAATAAGAGAAAATAAGCGATATCTCAATGGATTTACGGAATTAAGAGCCTAAATTGGAAATGTAGCCGGAGATAACTCTCACGCAGCCAATGAGCATTTTTACCAATTTATTAGACGCCGTGGGAACGAGTGAGGCTGGAATTCTGGGTTGCCGCCTGAGATTCCCACGCCCGCACATGCCCGTGACCTGCTGTGCCTAACTTCTCCAACACGGAACTCCGTCAAATCTCCACCGATTGGGACATTCTTGGTATCGTCAGAATCGTACGAATTAGGACTATTTTTGGATACCAAATTTGTACCGAGTCGTCGCGTGAATGAAAGTTGTTTTCTGATCGTGGAAGTGGGTATCCGAGCCGAGTCTGTGCGTGGGCGATTATCCCGCCTACAACGTCTGAGGTTTTGTGGAGTGAGAGAAATAAAAGCCAACTGAATGGCAAGGTCTGGAAGCATCTATGAACAAGCAGGGAACTACAGAGAAGACGTCTGGAAAGATCCAGAGCCTGGAAGTTGTAGTCCGGAAGATTGGGGTTATAGAAAATATCAAATGATAAAACAATAAGATTATCAAGACCAGAGGTAATATAGGAATGAGGAGGTACTGGAGGTAAGGAGGTACCGGAGGTGAGGAGATACTGGAGGTGAGGAGGAGGGTGGAGTGACAAGTTGGGATTCATCAACAACAAGCAAGCCCATCTCCTTCAAACAAGGGTTCTGAGGAGGTGGAGGTATGGTGGTGGAGGTCTGGAGGTGGAGGTCTGGAGGTGGAGGTCTGGAGGTGATGCGGACGTAGGTGGGTGGCAGAGTCGGAGAGAGTCGGAGCAGGAGGTAGTCCTAGGTTTGTTGGCATCGACCAGAGGCAGTGGAGAGAGATTGGGAGGGCTGGTGGAGGTCATAGGAGTCATGTATGGATAGAGCGGAGGGAGGTGGAAGATCCAGGATATGACAAAAGCGCAAAATACCAAAATTGGTGTCACACTGGTGCATAGATCATGCTTCTGTGAACCTTTGGGGGAAATAACTCAGAACAACGTGCAATGGTGGGTAAATGAGATAGAACGGTTTTGGAACAACTTAGGTAGACACACTCATGTCCAATCTCTTGGATGCAAAGTCAGGATTTTGATTGCGAACCTCCGTGAATGTAACATTGTATGGTGTAGTGGGGTCTTTGCAGCTCTAAGTACATTGGGAAACACTAAAATACAACAAATGGGATCCTAGTAGACACAAATGACCCCACAACAGTTACAGAAAGCGTGAAATATCACATTAGGCATTACACTGGCCATGTACATCATGCTACTGTGAAACTTTGGGGGAAATAACTCAAAACGATGTGCAATGGTGGGTAAACAAGATAGAACAGTTTTGGAACAACTTAGGTAGACACACTTAGGCTGATCTTGGGGATGCAAAATCGAAATTTTGAAATTTCCGATTGCAATTCTGAAAAATCCCCCTCATCCATTGGATGGCATCATTTGAAGACATGTCTGAAAACATGTCGAATGCACCAATATTTTCCTTAGATGTTGATAGCATTCCTGATGGGTTAACTGTTTTTGCTGCAAACCCAAGTGTAAATGAGTTCCTCCAGGCTGAGGAGGGCCCATTTGTGCGGCTAAGGGAAAAAATGGCAAGAAGCTGCGGTACCAAGGACCCAATCTTAAAGCCCTTCCCATCATTTGAGCCACTTGTGTGTCAGGGCACACCCTGACTAGCGTGGACCTGGACTTGCATCTGGACCCACTACACTTCCCACATGTGCACTTCCTGCACTGCATGCTCCACACACCGCATGATCCAGCCCCAGATCCTACCTCATGTGACTTCCGGGTATCCCCAGAAGTTTTCACCATATTGGGGCCACTGTGGGAAAGTGAGAAGTTAACCTTCTTCTCACTTTCTTACCCACAGTAGCATTGTGCCCTGAGATGGGCTGTTACAGGTCAGGTTGTGGGTTATAGAGAGAGGGGTCATGGGGACCTGGGTTTGTCCCCTGACATTGTGGCAGGCCTTGTTGAAACCCTGTGGGGACACACTAATCCTGAAAAGCAGGAATCCATTGGCAACATGCTTGATGAGGCTGGCATTACAGATGATCTTCAGTTTGAAAGTATGTCCTTCATTCCATGTTATTAATGTCACAGGATTTCTCAATGTATGAACAAGTATTTATTGAAATGTGTGCTGTGGCATATGTGCAGAAACATGGAAAATCACTGCAGGAGGTGATGAAAAACCTCTGGCACTACCATCCAGCTGTCAACGCCAAGGCTGGATGGCAGTCCTGGCTGAAACTTCAATGTAAGTTCATCGCTTCACTTACATTCAGTGTTAAATGTCTCCAGCAGGGACAGACAGCAAGGAGGCCGCTGTACAACTGAAGCAAGAGTTGATGGCCCTTGAGTCACAATACCCTGATAGAAAAGAAGAGGCCAAAGCAATGTATCAAAAACTGCTGACTCACTATGCTGATATCAGCATGAGCAAGGGTGAAAAGGAGATCAGTGTGAATGAGGGTATGTTTTTACTCGCAAAGTCCACTGCCACCTACACAGCCCAGGTAAGGACCACACCAGAGTTTGTTGCCTTTGTTCACATCTCTATTCGATAGGTGACAGCACTGAGTACATATTACAATATTGGAGTGGCCATTCTAGGCTTTATTGTTGATGAATCACTTCCTCCTGTGGAATCAACAATTGCATTTACCAGTTCACACACTGTGGCAGAAATGGTTAAAATGCTACAAGTTCCAATCACTCAGGAAGCTGCACTGGCAATGTGCCAGCTCTATGATGGCTTGTCCACATTTAGGTAAGTGAGAATGACATGGAAAGAGTTAAGTAGTTCTGATGTTTCATATTCCTCAAGTCCTTATCAGCCAAATGCTCAGAAACAAAGGTGCATTACAATAAATTACCTTGGACATCTAATAGCATCTGAAACTCAATCCAGAAACTTTATTGAATACCTCCACAGGTTTGAGGGAGAGAGGTCCAGCAACAAAGATGTTACTCTTTCTCACCTGATGAAGTGTGTCATTAGCCATACAGCACATAGTGTGCATTTCACTGATCATCTCAGTGAAAACCTTGGAGAAGATGCAGAGATGAAGCTTGAAGATGTGGAGGTGGAGGTAGATGAAGTTGACATCCATACACCACAGCTGGTGGGATCACTTACTTCGGCAGACAACAAATTTGGCAACCATTCACAAAGACATACTCAGTGTGGTGCATTGCTCAAAAACCTGATAGGTAAGCCCTAGGGCAAATAAGAGTCGATATGCATGCTGACCTCATGTACTATTCAGGGGAAGCTGTTGGTCAGAAAACAATCAGTGCTAGTTGGGGCACTAGCAAGATATTCCCATTTTTACTTGAAAACCACCTGCACTTCAAGAACTGGCATCGTGGCGTTCCCCTCCTAAACAAAAAGCTCCCATCTTCATGGAGTCCATGCAAAAGTGCATGCTGCATAGTGGTGCTCACCCATGAGCGCTTGGAAATCAAACTAGAGGTAGTTAAAATGACGCTGGGTGAGATGTTGCCAATTATTGTCAGCAAAGGAAATGAGCTCACACCTAGTTGGGCAGATGAGCATGAAAGGCATGAAGTCATTCATTATGCCCTGGATAGAGATGGCAATATCCTTGCCTATTCTCTCAGAAAGAACGATGCAGTTAGAAGCACAGCCAAGGTGTCCTGCTTGGAGAAAAGGAAGGTTGCAAGCTCACCTATTGAGGAGGATGTGGTGCCCAAGACCCCACCCCAGAAATGACAGAAGTCAGTGACAAAGGGGAAAGGAAGGTGTGAAGACACTCCTCAGGCAAACATTGTTCATCATGCAGGCACTGTTCCAGAGGAGATTATGCTGACAAACGACTTGCACTCAGCGAAGGCAAGCAACAACGCCACCACCGCAGCCCAGACCAAGGTGGAACCAGAAAACATCCCGGAGGCTGCAGCTTTCAATGGCCTGGATCTTGCCAACATCTTAAATGACGAGATTTTCGTGGAAGCATCAGGAGACATGGCAGATGGTGGCTGATGGCCCTGGATGGCAGTACCGCAGTGGGGGCTCCTCCCATTCTAATTATCCACCCCACTCCAAGCAGCAGCCCAACAAAGTCACAGTTGACTTTGGATAGGGCACCTGTGAGCATGACCCATCTTCATGTTTCCAGTGGAGGTTTTGGCAACCTGGGACAGGCACACTCTGAGACTCCCTCCTCCACGGGGAGTATTGTTGGAGACACAACGAGCTTTAATTCAGTGCTCAAACAGGCAAGAAACGGTTTGTGGGTGCTGGCAGTGTAGGAGAAATAATATTCAAAGAATAAAACAATGATCTATCAGAATAGTCAACAAAAAGGTGACAAGTTCAGACGTTTAACAGATCTCATGATCTTTATGAGACTGGACAGACATTAGAAGATCATTATAAATTATCTACACCCATGTAGCATGAGATTTAATCTACTACAAGCATGCCTAGAACCTGGCATAGGTGTAATACTCAAAGAATATATCCCTACAACAAGAAAATAGCACATAGACAGCAGAATAAGAAGGAACATTGGGAAAGAAATGTGAATATCTCGAGAACCAGTAAACTTTTGACTGTAATCTTTTTACCATCTGAAAGGACTGTTTCTAAACTTTATCCACGGTTTTGTTTCATTCTAAAAGCTTCAAAACTGACGGAGATATCGCTCAAACGGCGAAACACCTTATAATTCATATATATTTATTTGCTAATTCTTATAAAAAGTAATGTGACTCAAGGGAAATATATTGGCGCCCGGAAGTCTGGCGGACCGAATACCATATGACAGAGTATTTCCTGACGTGGGCGGACAGTTTTTGATCGCATCAGAAGAGGAGAAAATGCTAAAAAACTGGATCTTGTATATTTTCCCATGATTCATCAAAACTTTTTGATTTTAAGCTCAAATAAATCGGAACAAAGGAATGATTGATGATCTGGATCTCAGATTATAAGCATAAAGTGATTCAGAAGTCCGCGGATCAGTTAATTAATTGGGAAAGCTCTAGAACATTAGTAATGATGCGGCTTCACAAAAAGGGGTGAATTAGAGAACAGTCTAGAAAGTTCCTTTATAGCCGAGTCATTTCTAAAGATAACCGTTCGTAATTAAGGCAGTGTAGAGCATAGCTTTAGCGCTACAAGACCCCGCTAAGATCGGCCCAAAAGACAAAGAACTGAATTACTTATTGCTGAGTCATGTCCTAAGTCCATTATTAAGCTTACACAGTCCAAGCCCCTATATCATTCTAGAACTATCTATAATACAAATGTAGCACATGTAACTAGTGCGAGGCGTGGGAGTAGAGAGGCCTCTGAAAAGCATAAAAGGCCGCCGCTTCTGCCCCCTCTCAAACCTCAGGTAGAAATAAAAGTTTAATTCTCCTCACCAGTGGTTGGTTCATTTGCTCCAAAAGATAAAAGCAAATATTAGTTGTTAGCTAATATAAAACTAACACGTCACTCTAAGCATGAGTTAGGGTCAGTTAGACACAGCTGAACAAAAGTGTCATAGTGAGAATTAGTGAGAATTTGGTGGAGGGACTTCTTAATTGAATAATCTCTCAGCAATACTTGTTATCACACCACAGGAGAAAAGTGAGCGATCCTGAACCTGCTAGATAACTAGCATGCACTCTAAGCGATAAGAGCAGTTTGGTCACTCCTGTATTGAGTAACATTTATTGCGGAATTATTTAGTAGTTTTCCTTCAGTAAATTATCAGGAAAATCACGTCCTACTGAAAAGTGGTATATCTAGGTGTAATATTGACTAGAAATCATAGTAAAGTCAATATAGAATTTTATCCATAGACGATCTATACATCAGGTGAGATCGTTGGGGGGTGTTTATTGTTGTTTAGACAGTGAACAATTATATATTTGGCAACCAAAACACGGTCAGTACGCAAATCAGCACAAACTCTAATATCGTTATTGGACGTAGGAAACTGGTTACATAAGGTGATCCAGCTCCGCTCCTTCAGCGGACAGTGCGGCAGCTAAGCTCTGGATGGAGGCAATCAACAACAAGGATTTGGCCATGATAGTCAGGACTGACATCATTACATCCTACATCCAGAGGATGGAGAAGCGTAAGGAAGGGATGGTGACTACATTATTCCTTTATTATTCCTTGTTGTACTTTTGTATTTACACATGTATGGTACGGAGTTGGGTAAAGGGTTCTTTACTCTTCTCCACACCACGTCGAATACTAAGTTCTGTATAACCTAGATATCGACTGACCTGAGGACTGAAGAGGCACCAAGGTCGGCACCTACACCAACCTTACACCAGTGTAAGGGAGATAGGCCACATACTTGCAGCCCTCCCTAATTCATTTTCTCATTGGTACCATGCAGTCCCAAGCTGCACTAATCACATGTAATTACATTATGTATATATAACCTACATGAGAGGGGATAAAGGCTTCCCCAGCCTTTACTCCCCCATTGATAATATAGCTACATACAGTGTATATCTGACAGACTGGGAGTGTGAGGCAACACTTGACTATCATGAGATCACTCATGAACTCAACAACCTTAACAACGCTTACACTTTTTTACGCTCAGTGAGTTATATTCAACAAACCCCACATTACCAACACCCTTGTTGGTAAGATCAACACCATGAAGCGCATCAATCTTTAGTTCCTGCTTCACACAACTACTGTTTCTACTGTCACCATGGGACCCAACTGGTTGCCCCATGGTTCACTGCCTTCTTGCAACAAGAAGGCAACACGGTCCAATGCAACCGGTCCTAAGGCTGACAACTACGGCACTGCCGGAGTCGGTCCACCTGACATTTGCAATGTCAGGTGCAGTAACACATTTATGAGACCTTCCCAGGTCTCTGACATGCTTATGCCTTCCCCAATGAGGCAGAACAACGCAATAGATAGGTCAACACCAGACCTTGTTGCGTCCCCATCCCACACATGGATGTTCCCGGATGTGTGTGTACTCACTGCTATGGGTCTACCCAGCAGTTATCCCCCTGGATCCCATGATCAGGGCACACCTCACTCTCCTAGTGAGTCAGGTAGTGATGAGGACAGCATCCTCAAATATGTCCCGACCCTCATCCTGAAGGTCAGCACACTTTTGCATTCATGGGGGATGCACAGCACATCTGGTGCTGATCTCCATGTTGACCCCCTTCAGAGGTACATGCAATGGCGTCAGGACCCTCACCAGGTTGACATGCATGCACATGCATGAGATTCTGCCTTCCGGAAGGTGGAATCAGATTGCAATGCTGAACTCTGGAGAGTCTGCAAAGGACTTACTCATCCCTCCCATGTCTTTGAATGGGAGAGGCACTTGGAAAGGAGGTTCAAACGAGAGTTTGGATGTTTTCCCAGACAGTGGCCAGGTCACCATCTGGTCTGCAGTTTCCGCCACAGAAACTGTGCTGACTACCCTGGTCCCAACCTTTCCCTCTCATTGCGAGAGGTCAAAGACATTCTATCCGACAGTCTTCCATCCAGTTTCATGCCGGAATGAGGGCGGCTCAGCTTCAGCTGAGTGCCAGCTCACCGAAGTGCCCTGCACTTCGGTTTCTTCTAGGGCCACTAAATCTCCAGCCTCTGCCCTTTCCTCTCAGTCTGGGAGGACAGCGATAGTCCCTATGACCACTTCCCCACTGTTTCTGGTTGGGGGAAAGCACTTACCAACCCAGGCTGGGTGCCAGTTCACTGAGCACCCACACACTTTGACCCTTTCTGGGTCAAACTGTCCAGTGGTTTCTACCACTGTTCCTGGGCATCCAGCTCTACCTGCGCACGTAGGAATGACACAGGAAACGTTTCCTATGTCATTTCCAGCCCAGGAAGATGGCTTTTCAGCCATTGCTGGTTGTTGGCCCTCAGGGCCAACTTGCGCAGACATTCCAACTCGGTCTAAGGAAGTAGGGGTTCTAACCCCTACTCACTCTTGCTCTGGGTGGACACAAATGGCATCTCAAGCCATCTCCTTACTGGGTTTGGGCCAGACGGATGGCAGCTCAACTGCTGGTTATCCAATCATTGAAGCGCTGCCCACTTCAACATGTTCCGAGCCTGAAAAGGCTCCCCCTTTTTCTCCTGAACTTGGAATTGTCCCAGATTCCCTCATATGCTCTCTGTCTCCTGAGGAACCCCAAATCCTGGAGTTCCAAGAGGAGAGTGAGTCTTCTGGGGACAACTCTGTGCTTGCCATTCTGGCAAGCACAATTCTTCTTCTGCCCAGTCGGCATACTGGGCTGCATCACCTGCAATCAGCTGAAAAGGCTGATCGCCTCCCTTCATATCTGAAGGGAGAACGTGACTCCAAAGTGAAGATCAAGTGATGATCCTCTCAATGGGGTGATGTGCAGACTGGATAACAGTCAGCACTAATTTGCTGCCAATCAACGGCAGCACTCCTCTCATTCTGAAAGGCTAGAAGCCTCTCAGACTCTCTGCTAGCTCAGCACTGGCATACCTGCTCCTCAGTTGCTGAGGAGCATTTCACAACTTCTGGAAGTGCTCTGTGCTTCATCAATTTTTGGGCTTTTTCAAAATAAAGCCTTATCTTTTTTCCTTTCATGCTGAAAGGCTTTAGACGGTCTGTGTGACTGTCTCTCCACTAGTTTCGCACCGGTATTGTGGCTCTTCAGCTTCTGTTGAGAGCTGACTCCTAGAAGCACCCTGCACTTTGTCGTTTTTTTGGGCTTTTTGAAAATAAAGCCCCCGCTTTTTCCTCTTATTGTGAGAGGCTATAGATAGTCTGCCCGACTGTCTATCCACCAATTTTATGCCAGAGTAATGGCTACTCAGTGTCTGCTGAGTGCCACCTGTTGGAGTAACAACGACCCGTGACTTACCAACCAACACCACATGATCCCTCTTACATCCGTATTTGCCTCGTGACACAATGTATATAATTGTATATACTGTTTTCGCTCTACTTTCCTTTTCTCCTCAGTTCTTCATTTACGGAGACTGAGCTCCCGCTTTAGCCCTCCTATTAGGTTATAAGCCCAGAGGCTCTCTAATTCTAACCAGAAAGAACTCCCATCAATCCAGTATCAATCATGACCACCATTTCCCACAAAGTCGATACCAGAATCTTCGAGAATGACCGGCTACGAGCCGATGGATCGAACTCGTACTCGAGAATCACCACTTACTGGAATACATTGATGGTTCAATCCTGAAACCTTCCTCCACTCCCCCTGCTCCCACACCCACTACTGCGCCTGCCAATACTGGTACAGGTTCAGGAAACACTCCCCCTGCTACTCCTGCTCCACAACCCAGCACCGCGTTAACTCCACTCCAAATATGGAAAGAGGGTAATTCTGTGGCTTTACTCCAACTTGTCGTGTCCGTCGATGAGGAAGTCAAACTCCTCATAAAGGGTATCAAAGAAGCTCCTATAGCATGGGCGGAAATCAAAAAGAAGTTTGAAGGAAAAGGCGCGAAGTCTGTCTTTTACCTTATGAAGAAACTCTTCCGCACCGTTATGCCCCCCGAAAAGGATATCTACAGTCAAATTCAGGAGCTAAAGGATTTGTTCATTAAACTTGACTCACTCGGAACCAATATTAGCGAGGAAATCCAGACAGTTGCCATACTCATGGCACTTCCGGAAGAGTGGGAGATGATTCAGGAAATTCTCCTGAACAAGGACAAACTTACCCTGCAAGATACAATAGACGCGATCCTCGTACATGAGAGTAAACTCAAGCACAAGCAGGAAACTGCTATGCTAGTCCGAGTTGGGAAGGGAACCCCAAAAGGGAAGGCCTCTTCAGGCCAGCTGAGTCAGAGATCTAGGGAGGGAAACAAATTAACGTGCGGCAACTGCAAGAAAGAGGGGCACACTGCAGAGCAATGTTGGGCAGAAGGAGGTGGGGCAGAAGGGAAAGCCCCAAAGGGAAGAGGTCCGAGACGGAAGAAGTCGGGGAAAGGGCAATCAGCTAAAGTAGCTGAAGCCGAAGAATCAGGAGAGGGGTTATTGGTATACCTCGCGCATGAGACCCTCAAGTCTGAGACTGCGCTAGTAGCCTCAAAAACTTCCCCCTTCACCCACTTTGTCATCGACACAGGGGCTTCATCGCATATGACCCCCGACTCCTCAATGTTCTCGACTTATCAGAAACTCACTCACCCAAAGAAGATCAAAACCACTGACGCTTATATCGACGCAGTTGGTATTGGTGATATCGAGGTCCAAACATTCATGGGAGATCAATCCCATCCTGGCCGATTCACAAATGTTCTTCATGTGCCCCACTTAAACGAAAATCTTCTATCTGGCCGACAACTTGCAAAGAATGGTCTCAGAACCATTATTGAGGATGACCGCATCGACATCGTAAATTCCAAATCTGGAAGAGTCGTTAATCGCGCATACCCACATGGAAGTCTCTATAGACTCCGGGTAAAGATCATGCATCCCGAAACCGCAAAGTTTTGTCGAGTCGAAGTTGCAGAGGATGATGAGCATGCACTCACGACCCAAACCATGTCAACTTCCAAAGCCAGCCTAGCCCTATGGCACCGGAGGCTTGGACACATTACCGAGGATACAATCCTAAACATGGAGAAACATGGGTCAGTGGGCGAAATGGAAATTATGGAGAAAGGAAAGGGACGCTGCATACCTTGCCTAAAGGGAAAGCAAACACGCGATCCAATCCCTAAATCCACCTCAACCCGCTCATCCGAACCACTAGGCCGAGTCTTTAGCGACTTATGCAGCCCAATCACTCCAGAGACCTGCGAGGGTCACTGTTATTTCATCACTTTCACCGACGATTATAGCCAGTACACCCATATCGGACTTGCAAAGACCAAGGACTCAGCGCTAAATCTATTCAAAGCCTGGAAAGCGAAAGCTGAAAAGGAATCTGGAAGAAAGGTTAAAACCCTGCGCACAGATGGAGGTGGCGAATACACATCCACCGACTTCAAAACTTACCTTGAGTCCGAGGGAATCACCCACGAGATCACAAACGCCTACACCCCGCAACAGAACGGAGTTGCCGAAAGGGTAAACCGCACTCTAAATGACCGCGCACGGTCAATGCTAGAAGATGCGAAAGAAGTGCTTAAAGTCAAGCAACTTCCTCCGAGTTTCTGGGGTATTGCCATACGACATGCTGTCTGGATTAAGAACCGGGTATTAACCCGAGCACTAAACCAGAACCAGACACCCTTCGAGGCATATTTCGGTCACTTGTGCGTGGGCGAAGGCGCAACGGATAGCGGGGCCGTCGAGCGTGGCGATGGCCCCGACAAGATGTCGAAGCCTCTTGATTTGAAGCGAGCCGGTAGATACAAAAATCCCCCCCAAAAAAAAGGAGGTGAAGGGGCAGGTGGAGGGTAACGATGAAGACAGACAGAGAGTAGCAGCAAGAAGCGCCAACAAAAGAGAAGAAGTGAAGTTACAAGAAACAAGGCATGAGCCGAAAAATGAAAGACACCATAAACATCCGGGATCCAACTTGCAAAGGGTAACCAAGGCTAACTGCCTTATCCAATGCAAGACCGAATATTCAACACCAACCAACCACCCTAACCAGAACTAATAAGAGAATTGGTCAGAAAAATATGTCAGAGTCATAGAAAAAGGAAATAAACTCCAGCGTGCGCAGACGCAAGAGGAGGTAAAAGACTGTAGAACAACAGCGTGCAGCGGACGCGAGAGGTGGTGGCTGAGAAGCCAAAGCGTACCGCGGACGCAGAAGAGAAGGCACGGAGGCCGAAGCGCTCAGCGGGCGCGCATAAAGGAAAGAAGGCACAGAGGCCGAAGCGTACAGCGGACGTGTGTAAAGAGAAAGAAAATCCACTGACATACCAATCAAGCAGCAGAGTATCAGAAACATGGACACAATTGCATACCAGACAACTGAGAAAAACTGAACATCGCGGATGAACAGTCTAAAGGCATAAGGCAATGAAAATTGTGTACAGACGAGGACTTGACCTAGCAAGGGGGCACGGTGGATACCCAGAAGAAAACTGAGGCGCTGAGGCCGGCGCACACAAGTCATATTTAATCTCGTGCCTCCATTAAATTTAAAAAAACCTTCACTCAAATCACTGCGACTATTCGGATGTGTTGCCTATGCACACATTCCCCAAAAGTTTCAAACAAAACTTGGGGCCCAGACAGTCGAGTGTATTCACGTTGGGTTTGCCGAAGACAAAAGAGCGTACTTGTTGTGGGACCGCGCTAAACGCCAGATGATAGAGTCGAGGGACGTTGAATTTATTGAGGGAGGTGAACATGAGAGGGTGAGGGTGAATGTAGATGATGAGGAAGAGGGAGTGGAAGACGAAGTTGGAAGCCCTAAAGGAAGTCCAAGTAGTCAGAATGCTGTTTCAGGGGGGGACAAGGATGGAAATGGCGAGAATGATACAAAGATCAACTCACCTAACGTACCCAAGAACCCGTCAATCGAGAACCAACATTCCGACCTTAATCCTAAACCCAACACCGCTCCGAACCCAAATCCCAATCCAGACCCAAATCCTACTCTAACTCCACCACTCCGTCGGACGACTCGTAAGAACGCTGGAAAGCGACCCATCAGACCGGATGAAGATCCGAAGATGGATTTGGGTTCTAGACGCACCCAAGTAACCATGCAACCAATCCTGAATGCGGAAACAGTGGGCGATTCTGAAAAGAATACAACTTCAGTGGGCGAAAATGAAGAGAAAGTTGAAACACTCAACTTTGCTATCGTGCGCGATGGCGAAGAATTCGCCTATGTCGCAGCAACCTCTCCCCGGAGTTACCACGAAGCGATGAAAAGGAATGATGCTGATGGCTGGACGGCAGCGATAACCGAAGAATATCAGAACCTTGTCAACTGAAAGGTATTCGAGGAAACCGATGTTCCCGAAGGCATTCGAGTCCACGATGGCCGATTGGTTTTTGCCAAGAAAACTAATGCCGAAGGAGAAATCGTAAAAAAGAAAGTTAGACTGGTGGCAAAAGGATATACCGAGGTTCTGGGAGTGGACTACTTCCAGACTTACTCACCCACACTTGGCCGTGACACTTTATTTGCATGCCTCACCTATGCCGCTGGACACGACCTCGAAATCCACCAGTTAGATGCCGTCGCTGCTTACCTGAATAGTGACCTCCAGGAGGAGATCTACATCAAACCTCCTGCCGGAGTCCCGACAACACCGGGAAAGGTGTGGTTGCTAAAGAAGGCCCTGTATGGCTTAAAGCAAGCCGGCCTGGAATGGTACCGCACGCTCCGAAAGCACCTGAAGTCACTCGGATATCAGCAATCTGGATATGATCCATGCTTATACTACGTGGATCACTCACGCTTCATCC